TATGTGCGCGCGCGCGCGCGCACGCGAGCCGAATACCGATCGCGACTCGCGATTCACGACCCACGACTCGCGCTCACGGGTCCCGTACAGCGTACGCAACAAGATCACTCACTCTCGTACGCAGACGGCAGACGGCGAATATCTTGTCATAGCCGCCATACCGTATTACTCCAATACTCCAATGTACTGCAATCAGCAATGTACTGTGAATGCACGACTCGGCTCCACTCGGCCGAGATCGACCATCTTCGAGTTCGGTGCCGGTTGCGCGGAGAGAGTAGAGACTTAATAACGAATTCGATTGGACGCACTCAGTGCGCACTGGTGTACATTAAAGCCGTCCTACACAAAATAATGTAAACATATGTTTATAAATAAATATAGAAATTGATTAAATCGTGAAATACCTAATACATTTTATTGTACTAATTAGGTAAAATATGTATTTCATAATTCGAAATATTTGCATTTTATTTTTATACTCAAATTAAATCAGTGTACAACGGATTTAATATGCACCAGTGCGCATTAGTGCTTCCAATCGAATTCGCCATAAAAGAGCGAACTCTCACTTAAGGCCATCACACGTACAAAAATTTTAGTCGTAATCGTAAGGTCGCAAGTAAATCGACCAATTACAATCAATATTACGATTTCGCGTTTAAAAACGCTCGACTGTGATTGGCCAATTTGCTTATGGCCTTACGATTACGACTAAAATTTTTGTACGGGTGATGGCTTTTATGCGAGGTCTACAATAGAAGTCGTAGCGGTCGTAGGGTCTTAAGTCGTAGAAAATTGACCAATCACAATTGATTATTCTTCTCATATTCGACTGTGATTGGTCAATTTTCTACGACTTAAGACCTTACGACTGCTACGACTTCCATTGTAGACCCCGCATTAGGTCGGAATCAGACTACGCATTGAAGATTGAGGTTGAAGATTAAAGATTGAAATTTGACCAATAAGGACAAAGAAATTTTGGCTCCTTTCGTTTCGATTGGTTAAATTTGAATTTATTAATCTTTAATCTCAATCTTCAATGCGTAGTCTAATTCCGGCCTTAGGGCTACCGCACACAAAATTCCGTAACAGTGACCGTAAGATGTAAACTTAAGCCGATGAGCCAATCAGGATATTGCTTTAGATCTACGTAATCTAACGGAAATGGAAATAATAGTAAACTTAGCCATAACCTCGCAATAAGGCGAATTTCAACCGGTCGCACTAGGGATAAGTTTACTGCTATTTCTATTTCCGTCAGATCACGTAGATCTAAAGCAGTATTCTGATTGGCTCATCGACTTAAGTTCACGTCTTAAGGTTACTGTTACCCCGGATCTACAATAGGTGTTTTAAGCCTTAAGCCGTAAGAAATTGACCAATTACAGTCGAATCCAAGGAGAATAATCGACTGTGATTCGTCCATTTCTTATGGCTTAAGGCTTAAAACTCTATTGTAGATCCGGACTTACAGAAATTTTGTCTGCGGCAGCTCTTAAGGCTCAACACCGCAAGATTAGAGTTCCTCTAGTAAGAGATAAGTCGAGAGTACATAGAAAAACGTAAGGCCGAAAGACGTAATCAGTAAGGAAATCATAATGCGTGGTCTACAATGGCAGTATCAGTAATGAATGAGGCTGTAAGAGTAAGAAATTGACCAATTACAGTCGATTATTCTTCTTACAGTCAACTGTAATTGGTCAATTTGTTACTCAACATCGATTTGACGTTCATCGACTAATCATTAATGGCTTAGCTGGAAAACCAGCTTACTCCCGACATGGTTACAGCCTCTACTGCTACTGTTCATTGTAGACCACGCATTAATCAACTTACAACTATGACTTACGTTCCACGACTCAGTTACGTCTATCTTTGTGCTTAGGCCCTCACGCGTCGCGTCGTCCGTCCGCGTCACGAGTTAACCAATCAAAACATTCCATTTTATAGTATCATTTGACACGTGACTCTTTGCGTGACACATCGGATGTTTTGGTTGGTTAACTCGTAATGCGGACGGACGACGTAAGGTCTAGCTACAATAACGAGTTTTAAGCCGTAACAGTAGTTGTAAAGCCCATGGCACATACAAAAACGTAAGGCCGTAATACGTAAGCAGTAAAGAAATCATAATGGATGGTCTACAATGGGCAGTAGTAGTAGCGGATGAAGCAGTAAGACGTCGCAGTAAGCTGGTTTTTCGGTATTATAGGGTGTAGAGTAAGTCCGTAAGCGAAATGGTTGAAATCCATTTCTTACGTCTACTCTCTTACTCTCAACCAATGAGAACTCAGCATTCAGTAGTAAAGAAAACGCGCGCAAGAAGCTAGTGCTGTTTTTGCATGCTATAACCTAAATTTCGAGTATGGCAGACATGGAGTTTCATGATAGTTCTGGGCGTGATTTTGAAATAAGGATTAACCGAGAATTAATTGCCGTGGTCCGGTGCAATCGGTTTTTGTATGATAAGACCGAAAAATTATATGCCAACGTCAATGTGAAAACCGAAGCATGGAGACAAATCGGTGCAAGTCTCTAAGTCATTGTAGACACTCAGACGTAAAGAGATCCTAATCCTACAGCCTACTTCTAATGTCTACTTCTTAATCCACTACTGCTACTGACAAAATGGGTTGACAATATGCGACGAGATAAATGGATACCGACCTTCGCGATTGTGTGAGGTAAGTATCAAAATAAGGATATAATTTTTTTTATTATATCACACAATGGCCTAATACTCAACGCTAATAATATTTTTTTGTTTGTTTCAAGGTACATTCTGAAGATTCCCAATTCGAAGCCCACCGTATTTATGGCTGGAAAAAACTTAAACCGAATGCAGTCCCAACGCTTTTCGATGTGCCCAACCTCCTGCCACGAATCAACCCACCTAGACGAAAATCACTGTACAAGGTTACTTTCGACAAAAATTAACCACATTTTTTTAACCTATCACTGTCAAGATTAATATTTTTCGCTTCTTTCAGAATCGTGATGAAAACGCAACGCCTGCTCAAATAGTAATAGTCGGTAGTTTTGATCGATCGGTGCTTCAAGAATTGGTAATTTTTCAAATCGCAATACTATATATTAATAGAAGAAGGTTGAATTGCACGATCGAGAATCTTAATCGTCTGAGTTTTTCTATTGCAGAATTCGGTTAACCAAGAAAAAACTACTGAGGAGTGTGGCGAGACTCCTGAAATTATCACACATGATCCCCACCACTTACTGACGCCATTTTAAGGAGTATGTGGCCAGGGGGTTGATTCTGTATCTTCAAACGAGGTGAAAATTACAAAAATGAGCGAATTTACTAGAATACTGATAATTTCATTGGTTAACACCTAGTAAATTTGCTTTGGGCAACACCTAGTAAAAATACAGAATCGATCCTCTGACTCTACTTTCTAGGGACACTAAATATACTAAATATCCCTATTTATAAAATTGCTTTCACGTATTTTATCGACATATAAGAGGATCGATAAATTTGTTCATATTTGTCATTTTCACCTTGTTTGAAGACACAGAATTGACCCCAAGGTTTGTTCGCGTTGTATGCTCCAACATGTTCCAATATGCTCCTACCATAGCTCTTAAAGCCTTGTGTCCACGATGCTAGAAATCGATTTGAGATCTCGGATAGAGAGAAAGTTACTAAAACTCAAATCGTGGATACAGGAAACTCGAATAAATATCTCGAACAGAAATCTCGTAGCCTTGTGTCAACAATGCTAGAAATTGATCCGAGTTCTCGATTATTTTCGATCCAAGAAAATGTTACTAAGGCCGGTATTCATAGTCAGTTCTTATATTCAAGATCATCTCAAGTTCAGCCTTGAGGTGTTACGAACCAATAAGAGAGCCACATTAGCGTATTAAGACATTACTTAAGACGATCTTGAAATAAGAATCGACTATGAATACCGGCCTAAAAACTCGAATCGTGGACACAGGCAACTCGGATAAATATCTTGAACAGAAGCCTCGTACAAAAAAATGTATCCTGTCGCATTTTTCGTACTAGCTGCTTCATTTTGATGCAATTCCTTTAGCCAACATTATAAAGCTAGTCAGTTTGGACAACATGAGAAACATTACGTAGATACTGGTAGATACTTCATCAGAACTGATCAGGGCTGCGGTCCACTTGATGCTACAAACGCTTCGAAGCATTCTTTGATTAGTCAATTCGTAAAATTCTTTGTTCTGATTGGCTGCTCAAACGCTTCGAAGCATTT